TTCTTATTGTTTCTCCCATGAAAAATATTCGGATGATTCAGAATAAACATTTTTATTTTTGAATTATGTATTATTTATAAATTATAGTGAATTTTATCTTATTTTAAATTTCAATCAGTTGCGGCTCGTGCTATGGGGCAAACAGGCACGTGCCCCAGCAACATTGAAAGAAAGTAGAATTTAAAATTGAATAGCTATTGGTATTTCTTCTAACCATCATAATATATTTAGTAATTGGTATATTATTTAAAAATATTATCGAAAATAAAAAAAAAGTATCCAATAAGTACATACTGATACTATATTATACGGTCATTAGCGGGCGAGTACAAATTCGTTGTGCCCCGATGGCGTATTTCGCAAATGTCAGTACACTCAAAACCGGGTTGTTCTGATTGGTTCAAATTTAATTCCCGTTATTTTCTTATCACTTTATTTCAAATATCAAATATGTTTATATCCTATCACAGAACAATATCATATCGTTATCATATCAAAATGATATTAAATATTTAAAAGACTTAAAAAACCTAAAATGTTTTAAATCAATTAACAAAACAATATGTTAAACAGTATAAAATCAACGTATTATTCTATGGTAACTATACTACAGTGGCGGCTTTAAGGGGGAGGCCCATGGGGCCATGCCCCCCCCAAATATCTAAAAAAAAAAGATAATTATACCTATGGTTATTTGGTATTATGACTTTTTAAGTTTTATTACTATACATTATTTTATATATTATAATATGTTTGATATTTAGATGTGATGTTTTAATGTTTTATTCTCTACGTCAATGGTTGCTATCAGAAATTCTATTTATGATTCTAATTTGGTAAATTTTTTATCGTCACAATCTACAACGCTGATGCAGATTTGTCAATATTCATAGGCCATAGCCTATGCATTATTTTATCGCAATACATAATACAGTGATTGAAATAGCAGATGCTCGAACGATTTTTAAAATGGTATGTATTATTTTCTGTACAATTTACTTTGATTCAAATTTGTTTATTTCTTTAAATAATAATATGATGTACTTAATAAGATTACTGTGATTATTTATGAGCTCTTAATATTATAGATATAATACAAAGTGTAAATTATCATATATAGAAATAAATATCCCAAAAACCGTTTAAAAAAAATTGCTTTTCCTCATGCCCCTCCCCCCCAAAAAAAAAATCCTAGAGCTGCCACTGCTATACTACCTATATATTTTGACAGTTTAAATTATTATTTTGTTGAAGTCAAAATGTAAATTATGATTTGTTCTTAAGAATTAGGTAGTAGTGGAGTGTAAAATATAAATGTAAAGAATTAATAAAAATTATTTAATACTTAAATAACAAGATTTTAGTTTGTTTACAATAGCATGCTTTAGACTTGTATCAATTAACAAAAATATACTGACCGACAATTATTCCTCTTGTTGATCCTATTACCAGTTGCTATTATTATCATATTATTATTATTATTATTATTATTATTATTATTATTATTATTATTA